AAATTACTTAAATGTATTATTGTTTAAATTATTTAAATGTATTATTGTTTAAATTACTTAAATATATTATTGTTTAAATTATTTAAATGTATTATTGTTTAAATTATGTAAATGCATTATTGTTCAAATTACTTAAATGTATTATTGTTGAAATTATTTAAATGTATTATTGTTGAAATTATGTAAATGTATTATTGTTCAAATTACTTAAATGTATTATTGTTGAAATTATTTAAATGTATTATTGTTGAAATTATGAAAATGTATTATTGTTGAAATTATGAAAACGTATTATTGTTTAAATTACTTAAATGTATTATTGTTTAAATTATTTAAATGTACTACTGATTGATATCAGGTCATTATAACGAGCACAAACTCAAACTGATCACAGCCGACAGAGAAAAGTTCACTCAGTGAATAATCCAGTGACACACTCACACTCTCACACCACACAGGTGAACAGGAGGTGCCGATACAGGTTTTTAGTGTCACCGCCCACACTCCTGTGACCCCACCCTCCCTTTGACATCATCACAACAATATTAATAAATATCCCAGAACAACAACAAACATGGAACCATACACGAATATAAACCACCTTAAAATGTGTCAATCAAACAAGATGAATTCCTCCAATGAATTTATGGCTCCTACAACTTTGTGTCACTCAGAGACAGGACACACACACACACACACTGGTCTCCTCAGAGACAGGACACACACACACACACACACTGGTCTTCTCAGAGACAGGACACACACACACACACTGGTCTTCTCAGAGACAGGACACACACACACACACTGGTCTTCTCAGAGACAGGACACACACACACACACTGGTCTTCTCAGAAACAGGACACACACACACACACTGGTCTTCTCAGAGACAGGACACACACACACTGGTCTCCTCAGAGACAGGACACACACACACACTGGTCTCCTCAGAGACAGGACACACACACACACACACACACTGGTCTCCTCAGAGACATTCCTGTGTCTGTTTGACCTCCGACCTGCATCCTGACACGTTAACCCTTTACACCCCATCAGCATGTTGGTCATGTGATCACAGCTTCATGATGATGACCAGTGTCTGAGAGCAGCATGGTGGACAGGTGGGCTCCGCCCTCCTGGACCCTACAGCCCTGCTGCTGATCCAGACTTCACCTGATGAGGTGTGAACGCGGCTGAACTGTCGACATACAGTGTTCACGGTGACATCAGGCCTCAGTCTCAACATGTCTGTGCTCAGGGGCCCACTGAGTTCTGGTCCCTCCAGTACGAGGACTGACACAGCTCTATGAGGAAGAGGAGGAGACAGAAGAGACAGAAGGGGAGTGAAGAAGAGGCTGAGGAGGAGGAAGGGGAGGAGGATACTGAGAGAAGAGAAACAAAGAGATGAAGAGAAGGATGGAGAGAGGAGGAGGAAAACAGAAGAAGAAGAAGAAGGAGGAGGAGGAGGAGATGATGGATGTGAGGGGGAGCAGAATTCGGGGGGGGGGGGGGGGGGGGGGGGGGGGGGGGGGGGGGGGGGGGGGGGGGGGGGGGGGGGGGGGGGGGGGGGGGGGGGGGGGGGGGGAGACATCCAGACTGAGGAGGAGGAGGAGGAGGAGGAACAGGAAGAAGAAGAGGAAGGAGCATCAGCAGCAGCAGCAGCGGCAGCAGCAGGACGCACAGACACACAGACACACACACAGACAGACAGACGGACTGTCGGCGGATCACGGAGCCTCCACCGCCGCCTCTGAGCCGCTGCAGCCGGACACAGGAGTCACAGACCCGGCCGCAGACACGGAGCCATGGCCGCTGAAGAGGAGAGCCGATCCACGGCCTGCACCGGCTCCAGCCTCCTGCAGCCGGTCAGCGAGATCACCAACCTGCCGCTGGACCAGGTAAGACCCGCCGGAGCCCCGGACAGGCTCCGGGGCGGACACCGGCCGCTGGCTCCCACACACACCGAGCTCAGAGCGACATGAGCGGACACACAAAGCGTCAGAGCCGCGGTGAAACGACGGGCCGTTAAAGATGGACGGAGGCCTGGAGACTGTGCTCACAGAGCCCGGTGACCGAGCCACTACCGTTAACACCGATTTATCTGGTGTCGTTGGTGGGAAGACAAGACAGCAGGGTGTGTGTGTGTGTGTGTGTGTGTGTGCGTGTGCGTGTGCGCGTGTGGTTCAGACATGATGAAATAACTCTGATGTCATTTGACTGATCAGATCTGAGGTCAGCTGGTCTCAGTCTCATCACAGGATGTTTCTAACCTCCCATGAGGCCCCACTATAACATGCATCACACCAACAGTTATTATTATCAGGTTATTATTCTGTCACTGACTCTAAGGGACTGTTCTGTGTTTATCAGGGGGGCTGCGGTCCATGACTCCCCACCATGAATCAGTGTTTAGATTTTTGATGTTTGGAAGTTAAAAGTTAAAAAGTCTCAGTTTTTCAGTCTCATCATACAAACACTTTATTTTTGGCCAAATTTAAAATGAAACATAGAATAAAGTGACTCTGATGAAGAGTCATTATTTTCACATCAGATTTGGTTATGTGTGTTTGTTTTTTCTGACTGAAGCATTTGTTGTCCGTAACGTTTTGTGAGGGACCGTCCAAAATCTGAAAATCCAACAATATTCTGTTTTTACAGTTTCTGGCTGATAAATGTGTCATGTTGGTGATTTTTAAAGAAAACAGGCCAAAAGTTAGCACCAAAATTTGAAGAATCACCAAAAGTTTTCTTGAAAAATCTGCAGTAAAATAAAAACAAAATACAACCATTTAAATGTGTATGTCCCTCCCTCAGCCAAAATAAAAACATCAGTCCCTCCTCAGTGATTAAAATATTATTTGACAAGCCTCCACCTTTATGCACCCCCCTCCATAAATAACGAACAGTCCCTAATTTAAAGATAAATGCGTTGCGTCACATCGCGACATGTCACAGAACAAAGTAACATTTTCTGAAACATTTAACTTCAGTATAAACGTCACTTTTTGTCAAGACTGTATGTGACGTGATTTTTGTCATGTATTATAGAATTTTACACTGAAAATAATTTGATAAATCATAAAATAAAAAGCATCATTAAAGATTAAATCAGCTCCTTCAGTTATAACAAAAATAACAAAAAACTTACCTGTCAGGTTTATGTGGCGACCATCTGCAGGGCCCGGACCCTCAGGTTGGGAAACACTGGACTCTTTATAAAACTGTCTGCAGAACTTTATCTGTTGATGCAGAACGTGTACATGAATCAGAACTTTGACCTCGACCACTGTAGAGATCAGAGTGATGGTCTACCTGTGTGTTTATACTGCAGGTGATGTCATAATGACATCAGTTAGTTAGTTTAGTTAGTTTATTTACTTTATTAATCCTCCTGAGGGGAAATTCAATGTTTTTACCCTTGCTTGTCAATTACACACAGGTCCGAAAGACACACACATGCACAAGCAGGACCTATACATGCACAAAGTGGAGAGATGTCAGAGTGAGGGGGCTGCCCTTGGTGAGGCACCCCGAGCAGTTGGGGGGTTCGGTGCCTTGCTCAAAGCCAGGAGGTGAACTGGCACCTCTCCAGCCACCAGTCCACGCTCCATATTTTGGTCCGGACGGGGACTCGAACAGGCGACCCCCTGTTTCCCAACCCAAGTCCCTATGGACTAAGCTACTGCTGCCCCAGTCCCTGTCCCTGTCCCTAACCCCTGTGTTTTGCGTGCAGGTGAACTTCGTGGTGTGTCAGCTCTGTGCTTTGCTGTCGGCCTTCTGGTTTCGTCTCTTCCTTCATCCCAGTAAAACCAGTCCGTTCATCAGACACGTGGTGGCAACGTTACTGGGACTCTACTTCGCTCTCTTCTGCTTCGGCTGGTGAGATTTGGTTCTGATTTAAGATCTGATTTAAGGTCTGATTTAAGACCTTTTTTAAGGTCTGATTTAACATCTGATTTAAGACATATTTTAAGATCTGATTTAACATCTGATCTAAGATCTGGTTTAACACCTGATTTAAGACCTAATTTAAGATCTGATTTAAGACATATTTTAAGATCTGTTTTAACATCTGATTTAAGATCTGATCTTAGATCTGATTAAGAACTGATTTAACATCCGATTCAAGGCCTTATTTAAGATCTGATTTAAGATCTGATCTAAGATCTGGTTTAACACCTGATTTAACATCTGATTTAAGACCTAATTTAAGATCTGATTTAAGACATATTTTAAGATCTGTTTTAACATCTGATTTAAGATCTGATTTAACATCTGTTTTAACATCTGATCTAAGATCTGATTTAACATCTGATTTAACATCTGATCTAACATCTGATTTAACATCTGATCTAACATCTGATTTAACAAATTATTTAACATCTGATTTGAGACCTAATTTAAGATATGATTTAACATATGATATAAGGCCTAATGTAACATCTGACTTAAGATCTGATTCAACATTTGATTTAGTATCTGATCTAAGATCTGATTTAACATCTGATTTAACATCTGATCTAAGGTCTGATTTAACAAATGATTTAAGACCTGAATAAACATCTGATTTAACATCTGATTTAACATCTGATTGAAAGCACCTGATTTCAGATCTGATTAAACATCTGATCTAAGGTCTGATTTAACACCTGATTTAACATATGATTGAAGACCTAATTTAACATCTGATTTAAGACATATTTTAAAATCTGATTTAAGATCTGATTTAACATCTGATTTGAGACCTAATTTAACATCTGATTTAAAACCTAATTCAAGATCTGATTTAACATCTGATCTAAGATTTGATTTAACATCTGATTTGAGACCTAATTTAACATCTGATTTAACATCTGATCTAAGGTCTGATTTAAGATCTGATCTAAGGTCTGTGTAACAAATGATTTATCATCTGACTTAAGATCTAATTTCAGATCTGTTTTAAGACCTAATTTCAGATCTGATTTAACGTCTGATTTGAGACCTAATTTAAGATCTGATTTAACATCTGATTTAAGACCTAATTTAACATCTGATTTAACGTCTGATTT